CATTATCTTTATTATCGTTATCAATGTCACTACTTTCATTATTATAAGTATCATCATTATTGTGTTTATCATTATTATTATCATTAGTATTATAATAATAGTTATAATAATAATAATAATAATAATAATAATAATAATGATAATGACATCACTAGTAATAACAATGATAAAAATAATCTATATTATTATCGCATTACCATTGCCGTTATTATAATTATCATTACTACTACTAGTAGTAGAAGTTTCATTATTGTTATTATCGAAATTATTATTACAATAATAGTAATAATAATCATTATCATTGTTACAATTCTTATTATCATTATCAATATTATCATCATTATTATCATCATTATCATTATCATCATCATAATCATCATCATCATCATCAGCAGCAGCAGCAGCAGCATTGTCATTATTATTTTTTTGTTGTTGTTGTTATTATATTTGTTATTATCATCATCATTATTACGATTATTATCATTATCATTGGAATTACTGTCATATGTGTTTTTGTATTGCTCCTTTTATCATTATTGTCATTTTCAAAGTTTCGTTATTCATCATCATTATTATCATTATTATTATTATTATTGTTATTATTATTATCACTATTATTATTATTATTATTATCCTTATATTTCTATAACAATAATAATAATAATAATAATAATAATAATAGTAATAATGATAATTATTATTATTATTATTATTATTATTATTATTATCATTATCATTATTATTGTTATTATTATTATTATCATTATTATCATTATTATTGTTATTATTATCATTATTTATTTATTGTTTTTTTTTTTTTCATTTTGTTAATTTTCATTGTCAAAATTATATTTGACATTATTGTCATTTATATAATTCCTCTACTTGTATTGTTATTATTATTATTTATTATTATTATTATTATTATTATTATTATTATTATTATTATTATTATTATTATTATTATTATTATTATTATTATTATTATTATTATTATTATTATTATTATTATTATTATCATTATTATTGTTATTATTATTATTATTATTATTATTATTATTATTGCTATTATCATCATCATCATCATCATCATTATCGTCATCATCGTTATTATTAAATCATAATATCATAATTATTATTATCATTATTATTACTGTTATTATCATTGTTATTATTATTATTATTATTATTATTTTATTATTATTATTATTATTATTATCATTATTATTATTATTATTATTATTATTATCTTTCTTATTATCATTATATTCATTAGTATTACTATTAGTATTATCATCGTCATCATTACTATTATCATTATCATCTTGATTACTATTGCAATTATTACAATTAATAGCATTACTCTCATACTTTGATTATCAGTGCTATCATCATTATCACTGTCACAATCATCACCATTATTTCTTTGTTATTATAACTATTATCATCATTATCATTATCATTATCTCTATCAATCCTATCTTTATTAGTTTATATCATTACTATTAGTCTTATTATTTTCATTCCTATTTTTCATTATCATTATCATTATTATCATTATTATGATTATAATTATTATTATTATGATTATGATTATTATTATCATCATCATCATCATCATCATCATCATCATCATCATCATCATCATCATTATTATTATCATTTTTATGATGATTATGATTAGTATTATTATTATCATCATTATTTTTCATCATCTTTATCCTTGTTATTTTCATTATTATTAACTTATCTTTGTTGCTTTTAGTTACTGTTAATAGTGTTATTGTTATCTTTAGTATCATCTTTATGATCATTATTATTGTTACATTTATCACTATTATTATAATAATTTAGTATGATGTTGAAAAAAATTATGATGGTAAGTATAATAACAATGATAATAAGTACAAAAATAACAATTATAATGACGATAATGATAATGATAATAATGATAGCAATAATAATGATAGTAATAGTAATAATAATTATAATAATAGTAATAATAATAGTGATAATGAAAATTATAATAATTATATGAAGACAGATAACAACAATAATAAAAATAATAATTTTAATAATATAATAATAAGAAAAAAAGAAGACCATAAGAAAATTGATACTGATATTAATAGTAATAATGATAATAATGATAATAGAATAATGATAATAATAGTAACAATAACAATGATAATGATAATAACGTAATGATATAATAATAATGATAATGATAATAATAAAAATCCTGATAATTGTAGTGATAATAACTACAACCTTGATAATAGTAATAATATTATTAATGATAATGATGATAATAATAATCATCATTATTAAAATAATAATTATAATAATAATAAAAATAAATAATAATAATAGTAATAATAATAATAATAATAATAATGATAATAATAATAATAATGATGATGATAATAACAATATAATAATAATAATGATAATAATAATAATGATAGTAAAAATAAGAATAACTATAATAACTGTGACA